TTGTGATGTTCGGCTTTCAATTGTGGTCTGTAGATCGACTCGAAAAAAATACTTTTTCGGTCCACTTCATCCGAATATTATTATCTGATCATCACCGAAAATTATAGGCGTTGCCTTGACCATACCTGGATACTAGTGAAAAATTTCAAAGCGATGAGCGCTATATTTCCGCCATCTAGTGTGGTAATGGGTTACTAAATAATATCTTAGTACGTAAGCACCTGCAAACATTCAATTGTAACTCCCACATCCGATTACATACCACAATAAATTGGGTATCAATTTAAAGGTCAACCACTCCTCATGGGTATACTATAAACTTCTCGGGTCTCTGTCCTTCAGGGGTAAATCTATACGATATAGGATATAAATTTTGGCATTTTCACAAAAAAATCAGGGTCCATTTGACCCGCTAAGTATTGACCGATCTTTATCAAAACAGGCATGCTTATTCTTTGGCCCGATCCCCTTCTCCATGCAAAAATTCGTGTCATGGTGTTTGGGCCATAATTGCGTCCTCTGGAGTGACCAGAAAAATCGACAAAACTAAAGTCTTTGGTCCATTTCATCCCCTAAATATTAACTGATCTTTTCCAAAAACAATAGGGGTCTTCATTGGCCAGAACCCATCCTACATGCAAAATTTCGTGAAGATTGGTTCATAACTGTGGACAGACGGACAGACGGAAAATGTATGAAAATTATTCTTTAGAAATTTCTCTAAATACCACCTCCTGCTTCCTATCATGGATCCTTGAAGTGTCCTTTGCTGTTGTTGTTTTCAAAACAAAGCCAAAACAAACTGTTTACTTAACCTCACAATTGCATTAACTTTTCAATATCAAATATTTATACTTTAGCTAACCCTTCGTTCAACCTCCTCTACCTCTGAGATATCTATTCTGAGGAAAAAAATAATTCATTTGGTAAATAAACACTTAAAGCTAACTGACAGGTTACTTCAACTGCAAAGAAAAAAACTGAAAACGGTTAGAAAAGCAAACATGTCTAAAATTGTTAGCTTCCTGTTGCTGGTTACCTGATGTACACCTTAGCGGATATTTAAAGAGGTTTATTGTTCAGGGGAGGACTTTTAACCCTAATGCCATGTTCTGACGGGCATTCGAACAACGTAGTTCGCTCTCAGAATTACGTACATGAATTAACCCGTTCATACAACACCATTCTTAATTCATGTCATCAGAGTTTTTTTTTTATTTCAAACATTTTGTTTCTTGTTTTACACCAAAATTGTAACATATTTGCGTGAATCACATATGGATCTAAATAGAAAAAATAATTCTCTTTCTCCTGACTATAATATCAACCCCTATCTCTTTACTTTTAATTCATGTTTTCCATTTTTTCTGAAAATATTGTTGTTTTCAATACATTTTTATATTTTCTCAACTCAAATGTCACATTTAAAAAATTGGAGAATTTTTGTTTGGGTTTCCCCACTTTTGTTTCTCGTTTTGTACGCTAATTAGAACCAAGGGGAAAGAAATGCATATTGCATTACGTAGACAACAAAATTTACATCCTTCTGCATATATAAAAACTAGAATTTGGGTTACTTTTCATTCATCATTTTCAATTTTACTGAAAAATTTTGAAAAATTTAAAAATTTTTTCATGCTGTCAAAATTAATTTATTTTCGATAAATTCTCTCAATTGTTAGAGATGGGACAAAATTTTTGGTGATTCAGAGAGTGATTCGAATTGAACAACGTAGAAAAGTCGGTGTTCGCTCAGACAATTTTGTATGGGGAACTATGTAATTACTTCATAATTAGGGGTCGAACAACGAATGAGAGAGCGAACAACGCTCGTCTGTACATGGCATAAGGGAATAAATACAAATTTCCACAAATGTTATCAGAAGGCCTGGAGGCTTTGAAAAAATCAGCATATCTTAATCCGACCTATACTTGATATTGGTGCAGATACGAAGGACCGGTATTAATATTAAAATTTTTGTTGGTTCCTCAAGGGTTAATGGCAAATGTTAATATTTTCCTTCTCCTCCTCCCCACACTTTTTCCGGTTACATAAAATTTGTATACAAACTAAAACTTTACCCCCTTTTAAATCATTTATTCCATTCACATTCCACACCCGCCTTTCCTATAAAAAAAAATATAAAATTCTTTCTCCTCCAATCTATAAGAAAAAAGGATCTACCACTAAATACTTCTTTATAGAGAACTCCGTACGTCTGTTGCACATGTTGTTGTATCTCACCTCAAACTTGCAGAACTTACTTTTTGATTGTGAACACATAAACATGGGAGTGAAATTTTATTTAACTTTTTAACAACCTTTAGTAGTTGATGTGATTTATCATCCCTTTCATGTAGTCACACACACTCTCACCCACACACAACTACAGTAGTGTGTGTGATATGCAAATTGTTTAAAGGTAAGAAAAGAAAAAAATATTCTTTAAAAAATCCACGCCTTATAGAGGGTCTCCAAAATTAGTCTTTAAAAAATCCACGCCTTATAGAGGGTCTCCAAAATTAGTCTTTAAAAAGTCCACGCCTAATAGAGGGTCTCAAAAATGAGTCTTTAAAAAATCCACGCCCTATAGAGGGTCTCAAAAATGAGTCTTTAAAAAAGCCACGCCTTATAGAGGGTCTCCAAAATGAGTCTTTAAAAAATCCACGCCTTATAGAGGGTCTCCAAAATGAGTCTTTAAAAAATCCACGCCTTATAGAGGGTCTCCAAAATTAGTCTTTAAAAAATCCACGCTTTATAAAGGATCTCCAAAATTAGTCTTTAAAAAATCCACGCCTTATAGAGGGTCTCCAAAATTAGTCTTTAAAAAATCCACGCCTTATAGAGGGTCTCCAAAATTAGTCTTTAAAAAATCCACGCCTTATAGAGGGTCTCCAAAATTAGTCTTTAAAAAATCCACGCCTTATAGAGGGTCTCCAAAATTAGTCTGTAAAAAATCCACGCCTTATAGAGGGTCTCCAAAATTAGTCTTTAAAAAATCCACGCCTTATAGAGGGTCTCCAAAATTAGTCTTTAAAAAATCCGCGCCTTATAGAGGGTCTCCAAAATGAGTCTTTAAAAAATCCGCGCCTTATAGAGGGTCTCCAAAATGAGTCTTTAAAAAATCCAAGCCTTATAGAGGGTCTCCAAAATGAGTCTTTAAAAAATCCACGCCTTATAGAGGGTCTCAAAAATTAGTCTTTAAAAAATCCACGCCTTATAGAGGGTCTCCAAAATTAGTCTTTAAAAAATCCACGCCTTATAGAGGGTCTCCAAAATTAGTCTTTAAAAAGTGCACGCCCTATAGAGGGTCTCCAAAATTAGTCTTTAAAAAATCCACGCCTTATAGAGGGTCTCCAAAATTATTCTTTAACAAATCCACGCCTTATAGAGGGTCTCCAAAATTATTCTTTAACAAATCCACGCCTTATAGAGGGTCTCAAAAATGAGTCTTTAAAAAATCCACGCCTTATAGAGGGTCTCCAAAATTAGTCTTTAAAAAGTCCAAGCCTTGTAGAGATTCTCCAAAATTAGTCTTTAAAAAATCCACGCCTTATAAAGGGTCCCTAAAAATATTCCTTAGACAACCGACGCCTTCTAGAGGGTCCTTAAAAATAATCCTTAGACAACCCACGCCTTGTAGAGGGTCCTTAAAAATAATCCTTAGAAAAAAATCCACGCCTTGTATAGACCCTGAAAAACTCTTCTTTAAAAAATCCACGCCTTGTATAGACCCCGAAAAAAATATTCTTTAAAAAATCCACGCCTTGTATAGACCCCGAAAAAAATATTCTTTAAAAAATCCACCCCTTGTATAGACCCCGAAAAAAATATTCTTTAAAAAATCCACGCCTTGTATAGACCCCGAAAAAAATATTCTTTAAAAAATCCACGCCTTGTATAGACCCCGAAAAAAATATTCTTTAAAAAATCCACGCCTTGTATAGACCCCGAAAAAAATATTCTTTAAAAAATCCACGCCTTGTATAGACCCCGAAAAAAATATTCTTTAAAAAATCCACGCCTTGTATAGACCCCGAAAAAAATATTCTTTAAAAAATCCACGCCTTGTATAGACCCCGAAAAAAAATATTCTTTAAAAAATCCAAGCCTTGTATAGACCCGGAAAAATATTTTTTTAAAAATCCAAGCCTTGTATAGACCCCGAAAAATATTTGTTAAAAATCCAAGCCTTGTATAGACCCGGAAAAATATTTTTTAAAAATCCAAGCCTTGTATAGACCCGGAAAATATTCCTTAAAAATCCACGCCTTGTGTAGACCCGGAAAAATATTCTTTAAAAATCCACGCCTCGTATAGACCCTGAAACAATATTCTTTAAAAAGTCCACGGATCTAGAAGACCCCAAAAATATTCTTTAAAAAATCAAATCCTCTATAAGACCCCAAACCAATATTGTTTAAAAAAGCCGCGGCTCTATAAGATTCCGAAAAATATTTTTTAAAAAATGTACGCCACTATACGAATCAAAAAAAAAATTCTTCAACAATTCGCCTCTAAAAGACCCCGCAAAGATATTCTTTAAAAAATACACTCCTCCATAAAGCCCTGAAAAACTATTTGATTTTTTTTCATCTAGTTTATAGGGACTCCTTCTAACAGTTTTATTTTTTATATCCTTTTTATCGCCTTGCCACCAAACCATAAATTTCAGTTTTACTTGCTGTTACCTGGTTCGGAATGTTATTCATAACGACAAAAAAATCTGGAATTTTATAACTTTTGCTTGGTTTTACATATTTTTCCATAAATTTCCCTGCTCCCACGTTTAATATTTTCTTCATAGCTACCTATTTTCCGGTTATCTTTAAAAAAGAAATTTGTTTTCGAACTAAATACTTTACACCTTCGCAACAGAGGGTAAAGGGGTGGTTGTGGTGGCGGTGGTAGAAGATAAAATAAATACAATATTGAAATACAAATGGTAGGAATTTGAAAAAAAGTTTCTTGGAAAAAACGCCGAAGGCCATTGACTTACAGTATTTCTAAAGCTGTTAAATTTGCAAAGGCGCCAGAGGAGATTTTCATGATTTGATTACGTTTCAACAGACTGTAACGAAAGTAGAGAAGAAGAGGAAGAAAAAAATAAATAACAACAACATCAAACATTTAGGAATACATTTTAATAATTTTTTTTATAGGAAGTGATTTGAATAATGGTGCGGAATGGAAGGATTTTTCTGGTGGGGATTTTGATGACAAAAAATAGGAAGATAAAATATGTGGGAATTTTGGTTGGACATGAAATAGGATGAGTAAATTTATGGGAATTTGATAAAAAATAGAATGAGGAAGTAGAGGAAATTATATTTAAATCTATTTTTGGGGTAAGAACCTTAATATTTATTAACCAATTTAGAAATGAATTTAATTTTCATAATATTAAAAATAAAATACAGTCGAACTTCCCTATAACGTAACATTTGGGGTATGATATATATAAGGTTAAAATAAGCAATTTCGACTGATTTTTTTTTTAATTTTGGTATTATTAAATTATTGACAGCCTCTGTCCTCTACCATGGCGAAGCTTATATTTGTCCCTCTTTCATCTCAATTGTGGACACTGACCTCCCGTGGTGTCACCTGTGGTAGCTATTTTCAACATCCGTTGAAATAGTGAGCTACTATGCGCATCGAGTTCACGCATAAGAACTACAAAAATATGGGTTGAGGCGTCGGGTTGCCCACACTCGGAGACCACGCATATTAATGGTTAACAGATTTATTCCAGTAAATGAGCGAATTGATATAATCCGTATAAAAGTGAAGTTCTTCTACATCAGTTTCATGCTGCCACCTACGACAAAGATGAACAGACCAAGAACATATTTTACGAGCGCAAAGAAACAGCATATGATCACCTGCCCTGGGCATGACATTAAAATTCTGCTAGAAGATTTTAATGCAAAAATCGCAAGAGAAAATATCGTTGGCCCCACCGTCGGAAAATTCAGCCTTCATGAAGAAACATCCGACAACGGCGGTTGATTGATTGATTGATTTCGCGGCAGCAAAAAACATGGTAGTTAGCAGCACCAGATTCAAGCATCTCGATATACACAAGGCCACCTGGATTTCTCTTGAACAAGCAACGAGAAATCAAATTGATCATGTTGTGATAGACGGAAGGCATTCATCCAGTGTATTAGACGTTCGATCGATCCGAGAAGCGAATATCGATTCGGACCACTACCTTGCAGCAGCCAAGGTTCGCACTCGTGTTAATGTTGCAGCAAAGGTGCGATCTAACACAACATGGAAACTCGACGTCGAAAAGCTGCAAACACAACAGGTAGCCGTGGCCTACTCCGCTCATCTTACCCATCTGCTTGACGAAAGCACTTCTTGTCACGATAATTGTATAGAAGCACAACGGCAAAGAATTGCCCACTCCCTACAAACTACAGCAAAAGCAACACTTGGGTACCAAAAACCACCACCAAGAAACCCGTGGTAAGACCAGGAGTGTTGTAATGCTACTGAGGCGAAAAACGCAGCGGATAAGGCAACACCACAGACTGTTGCAACACGTAATGCGATGGGAGAAACGGAGAGAGGAGAAATGTATTTTCAGAAAAAAGAAGAAGGAACAAGAAAACCGTGAGCGGGAGAAAATCGAGATGTACAGGAGTCAGAACGAAGTACGGAAATTTTACTAACGAGTAAAACACCAAACCGAGGCTTTAGTGCAGGCACATCATCCTGTAGAGATTAAGAAAGAAACCTAGTGACAGATATAGACAGCGTGTTGAGGATCTGGAAGGAGCATTTTGAAAAACTTCTTCCAGAAGAAGCTCCTTCTAGTTGTGAAGAGTATACCCCAGAACCAATAATATATGACGATATAGAGTGTATACCACCTAGCCAAAATGAGGTAAGAATAGCAATTAATCGGCTGAAGAATAATAAATCAGCAGGTGCCTATGGGTTACCAGCTGAACTATTCAAGACCGGTGGTCAGATGCATGCACAATGATTGGAACCTCAGCATCCTGTGTCCCTTGCGCAAAAAAGTAGACAAGACATTGCGGCCGGCAACAGACACCTTTGAACAAATTGAGAAGGAGTCTGCCAAAGTGGGTCTGGCAGTAAATGGCGAGAAGCTGATGCTATCAACGCGCAAGACGTCCAGTAGGCTCGGACCAACTGTGGAAGTTGAAAACTACAGCTTCGAGGTAGTCAAAGATTGTTTATACCTTGGTACCGCCATAAATAAAACTAATGACATCAGTTTTAAAATTTGGATAAGGATAGTGTTGGCCAACAGATGCTACTATGGTCTAAGTAAGCAGTTTAGGAACAAGGCGCCTGGAAATCTGTTTTTTAGCTCGACTTATGGAACAAAAGTTCTGCAAAAAGCCAGCTAAGTAAGTATATTTTTAAGATTTTAATTATATCGGTTTTTGATTACAAATTCCGTGAAGCACATTTTTATATTTTTTGAATAATAATTTAAAATTTATAAAAATCTAAATTGGTTATTAAAAAGGTCCTTCCCGGCGCCACAGATTTTTTTTTTAAATTTATTAAAATTCTTTCCCCTGTTTGAAAATAGTTTTAAAAAAATGTATATGGTTTTTTACTTACAGTACCACCAAATTTGGCATTTTTGGAAAATCCTCATCATTGATTATTGTCAAGAGATTACTGCCAAGATTTCTGCATATATATAAAACAAATTAAATATTAGTATTAATGAAATAAGATTTTTGTTAAAGCCTAAACCTGAAAATGGGATCTTATGAGAAGATAATATTTGCAAGGCATACCAATTTTGCGAGAGAGAAATAAATCCCAAGAACAAGTTCAAGCTTCAACAAATTGAAATTAATAAAAATTATGCGAGAATACTTTTTTTTAATAAATATTAATGAAAATAATGTATGTGGTGGTATTAATTAAATATGTATATTGGTTAATGACTGTAATAAATATACGCATTCATGAAACAATAATGTACAACTATATGTAAATATATATTTTTATATCCCTAGCATTATGACTAATGAGAGAGTATTTAACCTTTCCTACGGCAAAAGTTGTTTTTTTTTTTTTTGACCCCAAGGTTCCTTTAACCAAATCCGTTTCAGACAATTTCGAGTCGATTTATAATTTTCCCTCATTTTGTATTCCTGACTGGCTGAGGCACGTGATAACATTCGAAGGTAGTAACCGATTTCATTCGGACTTTGGAAGCCAATCGAGTATCCTATGTAATGCGTAAACTGCAGATGGTAATATTTCTATCAATACCACATCATGTTTGAAAATGGAACCCATGGGTTCATTCCTTCTGGTATATCTTCCCCATAACAAGTGACAATTTTGGAATATTATATATTTAATAAAAAAATTGATATACCTCTATTATATATTGACAGTAAATTAATGGAATTTCTCCACTTAGGCTCAATGGAGTCCAAAAGCACATCGTTAAAATCTTTCCACCGTCTTTCTTCGAAAATATACGTAGACACTGAGCAGTTGGTTTCAGACCTAATTCTTGCAATTTCTTGGTAATTTCGCTACAACACCACATTTACATGATGTATGACCGACCAAGTTACATGCAGCTCCAAAAGTCCAATCGACGACAATCAGTCATCTAATCGACTTCCCACAATAGTACCTCCTTGAGGTACTATTGAGTTACTATGTGAAAAATTTAATGGTTCATCTATCATTGTTCGATCGTTGTCATTAGTTAACTATACATATTCACACTCTTTGGAGTTTCTCTCCTCATTATTATACCCTTCACCACACTGTGGTACAGGGTATTATGTATTTGTGCATATGTTTGTAACAGGCAAAAGGAAACGAGATAGACACATGGTTCCTTTTGAAAATATGCATAGAATCACTTTCTGAGTCAATTTATGCATGTCCGTCTGTCCGTCTGTAGATGTTAAATTTTAAACAAAGTACAGGTCGCATTTATAATCCGATTTGGATGAAATTTGGCATAAGTCACTTATTTGGCTCAAGGACGAACCCTATTGAAATTGGAAAAAATCGGTTCAGATTTAGATATAGCTCCCATATATATTTTCGTCCGATTTAAGGTAAATGGAGCACCAAAATCCCTCTATATCTTTCGATTTGCATGAAATGTGGCACAGAGTACTGAATTAGGTTCAGAATGATGTGTGTCAAGTTTCGAGAAAATCGGTTCAGATTTAGATATAGCTCTCATATATAGTTTCGTCCGATTTAAGGTAAATAGGGCACCAAAGTCCCTCTATATCTTTCGATTTGCATGAAATTTGGCACAGAGTACTGAATATATGTGACAAGTTTCGAGAATATCGGTTCAGATTTGGATATAGCTCCCATATATAGTTTCGTCCGATTTAAGGTAAATGGGGCACCAAAGTCCCTCTATATCTTTCGATTTGCATGAAATGTGGCACAGAGTACTGAATTAGGTTCAGAATGATGTGTGTCAAGTTTCGAGAAAATCGGTTCAGATTTAGATATAGCTTCCATATATAGTTTCGTCCGATTTAAGGTAAATGGGGCACCTATATCTATATATCTATATCATTCGATTTTCATTAACATAAAATCGGACGGAAATATATATTGGTGTTTTTTCTGAAACTGAACAGATTTTCACCAATTTCAATATGGTTCGTCCGTGGGCTAAATAAATGAGATTTCAAAATCGGTTTATTAATGCGACTTGTATTTTGTTTACAATTTAACATAAACAGCCGGTTCGCAAGTTCGTTAAAACCAAATTAAAAAATATGACGACTGAATGTTGGGACCGAATAAATATTTCTTTATAAAAAAGTTCTCTATATCCATAGTTCGCTATAAGGGTAAAACTATAGGAACAGGAAAAGTGTTCGCTATAAATGAAGTAAAATCGCCAACAGTTCATCTCCAATTAAAATAATAATTTCTTTTAATTAGGCCACGGCATCGATAAAATCGTTTAAATGAGATTCCCTAGGATCATTAAATCGCTGTTGATCCAAAAATTCCTGGGGACGAATAATAACACTGGACTTAAATCGTATCATAAGTTATATGGCAATGTTTTGTTGGCCCAAGAAGGAGGAGCGATAAGTTCTATCTTCGAACTAGGTTTGATAAAAATATTACAATATGCACAGTCCGAATGAAATGTAATAATCGGTTCACCTCATACGAGATATACAAATTTCAAATTTTGATCCTCTGGGGGGAAGCACCGATAAGTGCTACTTTCAAACATTATGAAGACTTGGTTCAAACTGCATCAGAAAGAGCAATTGTTTTACTTTGGTATAAAATAGGACTATTAAATTCCCGAAAAGAAAATTAATTTTCGGTAAATTTAGCCAAATTTTCCAAACTGAGTTTTTTTGTAATTTGCTACTTTCCTAACAAAACTGCCCAGGGTTTCGGACCATTTCGCCCAGCCGAACCTTACCAAGTTTTTTTACGTATTTTGATGTTCCCCTCACCATAATATGGAGGGTATATTAATTTTTTCATTCCGTTTGTAACTCATCGAAATATTCATTTCCGACCCTATAAAGTACTTAAATTCTTGATGAGGGTAAAATTCTAAGACGAACTAGCCATGTCAGTCCGTCCGTCATCTGTTGTAATCACGCTATCTTCTAAAGGAATTGAGATACGGTGCTGACATTTTGCATGGGGTTGTCCTTTGTCTGCAAGCAGGCCAAATTCGAAGATGATCTATATCGGTTCACATTTAGGCATAGTCCTATATATCGGTTCACATTTAGGCATAGTATGAGGTACTTTGAGATTTTAGAGCGCGTTTTTTAACAGAATTAACTGAAATTCGGCACATTGGGTTCCTATTGGGTACCAAATGTCTTCACTTTTTCTGGTAGTCCCCCATATAACGGTACCCCCCATTATCCGATATTTTGGGAGTTTTGATCGCATTTTTCGACCGAACTGGCTGTAATTTATTACTTTGAATTCTTTTTGGGTAGCAAATCTCTCCACTAAAATGGACCCATTTTTTTTTGGGTAGCCCCCATATAAGGATACCACTTATTTTCACTATTTTGGGGTTCTTGAGCGTGTTTTTTGACTAAATGCGCTGTAATTTGGTATTTTGTAGTCGAATATGGCAAAAAATCTCAATCAAATGTTCGCCCCCTTTTGGGCGAAGTCCCCATGGAAACGAGATAAACACATGGTTCATTTTGAGAAATCGTAGAATCACTTTCTAAGTCGATTTATGCATGTCCGTCCGTCCGTCTGTCTGTCCATGTTAAAATATAAACAAAGTACAGATCGTCGAAGGACGAACCCAATTGAAATTGGGAAAAATCGGTTCAGATTTAGATATAGCTCCCTATACATTTGACACAGAGTAATGAATTAGGTGTAGAATGATGTGTGTTAAGTTTCCTGAAAATCGGTCCAGATTTAGATATATTTCCATATATATTTCCTTCCGATTAAATGTAAATGGTGCACCAACGTCCCCATATATATATATATATATATATATATATATATATATCGATTTGCACGAAATTTGGCACAGCGTAATCAATTAGGTCTAGAATGATGTGTTTTAGGTTTCCTAAAAATCGGTTCCGATTTAGATATAGCTTCCATATATACGTCCGTCCGATTTAATGTAAATGGTCCACCAGAGTCAATATATATCTTTCGATTTGCACGAAATTTGGCGCAGCGTATTGAATTAAGCCTAGAATGATCTGTTTTAATTTTTCCTGAAAATAGCTTCAGATTTTGATATAGCTCCCATATATACTGAATTAAGCTTAGAATGATGTGCGCTAAGTTTCCTGAAAATCGGTCCAGGTTTGTATATAGCTCCCATATATATTTTCGTCCGATTTAATGTAAATGGTGTATCAAACTCCCTAAATATCTTTCGATTTGCACGAAATTTGGCTCAGCGTACTAAATTAAATCAAGAGTGATGTGCGCTAAGTTTCCTGAAAATCGGTTCCCATATATATGTTCGACCGATTTTATGTAAATGGTGCACCAAGGTCCCTATATATCTTGGGATTTGTACGAAATTTGGCATAGCATAAATCGGTTCAGATTTAGATATAGCTCCCATATATATTTTCGTCCAATTTAATGTAAATCGTGTACCAATGTCCCTATATATCTTTCGATTTGCACGAAATTTGGCATAGCGTACTAAATAAAGTCTAGAAGGATGGGTGTTAAGATTCGTCAAAATTGGTTTAGATTTAGATATAGCTCACATATAGATTTTTGTCCGATTTCGTGTAATTGGTGCACCAAAGTCCCTATATATCCTTCGATTTGCAAGAAATTTTGCACATATGCAAATTGAGACTTGGATGACGTTATGGCGTCTTGTTGAAATTGGCGCAGATGCAGCCATAGCCCTCATATGTATTTCGAAGGGGTGTCTGATTGATACTAAATTTTTAACAGTGCGGCGTATCGAATAATGTGAGTCAATTTAGCTATAAATCGATTTTTTCATAAATTTGTTCCATGATAGGCAGACGACTCTAGATCTGCAAGAATGAAATTGCATGTGTCAGAGGTTGCAGATTTGTATGTTCCTTGGAGGGAACATTGACATGCAATTGTAAGGATACATATACAATACAATATACCTAAAGTGGTGAAGGGTATCATATGGTCGGCCCAGTCCGACTTTACCACTTTCCTTACTGGTTTAAATTTGTTTTTGTCAACTTCCAGAATAGTTTTATTATGCCAAATAGTTGTACATTATTGTTAAAAATAAACCCCAATAATTGTTGTTGTTTTTTATGTTATTTTTTCCTGAAAATCCCATATGCTAAGTGAAACACATAATATTAACATTTTTATGAAACAGAAATGCATACAAACTATTTTTTATGAAATTGTTTTTTGTATTTTTAATGCAATTTTTTTTTGTTGGGTAAGGAAGAAAACAAATAAAGCCATGACCCATTAGTGTGATGGGGTGTTTTTATTTTCAAACAAAAACAAGTATTAGTTTGAACTAATTTTTTTGGAAAGCCAATTGCAACGAAGTTGAACAAAATTTTTATTCCCATTTTTTTTTTTGTTTTTGACAATTTCTGGAAATTTAAATTTTGAAAGGATTGTTTTTTTGCAAATTTTATTGTTTTTGTTTTTTAGCAATTCGTTCGAATTGTTTTTAGTGTTCAGCATGCAAGCACACATAGTATAGGGATTTAAGAAGCTTTTAGTAAATATGGGATTAATTTTTATTGCTATGGAGATATACACAACGTACAAGTGTGACTACAGTGTATCCCGAAAGGTAAAGGGAACTAAAATTATTAGTTAATCAAATGGATGATTTTTGGTTTCATATGGTGAGAGAATTTTGATAAAACTCCAAAAATGATTTTCTGGCAGATTGTATCCAATTTTTATTGTATTCGAATTTTGAAAAAATGCGAAATTGGAATAGCCGATATTTTTATCGCCAATTTTTTGAAAAAAAAGAAAACCTCTTTTTCAATTTTTTCCATCCTTTTTTGGGACACCCTGTATAAATGCATATGCGAAAATATTGAACACATATTTACATTAATATTGTTATATAGTGGATATATATTGTTAATAACAATTATTTAATGCTCAATAAAATTTTTTGTAGTTGTTGGTTTTTTTTTAATTGGCTCACAGTGCTTCGAGTGTCTTTAATCCAGCCAAAGCATCGGTGGGTATCCGATAGAATAAATTGCCTTCGAGTCGTAGAGTGCGTAATTTTGGCAAATGCTGCAGGCTGTTGCGATCCATGCTTGCTAAGGCGTTGCCATTTAATTGCCTGCGATTTGATTGAAGAGGAAATTCGGATTTTTTTTTTGTTGATGCAGGATACAGGAAATGAGTTGGAGGGTGAATGTTGGTTGTGTGGACAGTGGACAAAGACATGTGTAGTCAATTATTTTTTTTTTATTTGAATAAAGTGGAAAAAATAAATGAAAATCATTTATTTGGAATATATATTTTAATATATATGTATATATATGTGTGTGTGTGTGTTTTTGTATAACAATGAAGGAAAGGCAATATAAATGTTGGCCAAACAAAAGGCACGCCATTTCAATTGCGGCACAGTATTTTTTGTGTGTGTTATGTGTGGTGGTGGATGCGTGTGTATGTGTGTGAAGGACAAAGAAACAAATATAGAAAAAATATAAAAATACCGATATACATATAAATATAGGTTAAATATGTAAATAGAACTTTCATTGCGTAGCAAACGCAATGGACGAACAAAAAACGTGGCATACTTTCAGGCGTCCACACAATAATTTGGATTTCAATAAAAAAAAGCCAAACATTCTTAAAAAATTCCACGCCATGTATAGATCCTGAAAAAGTCTTCTTTAAAAAATCCACGCCATGTATAGATCCTGAAAAAGTCTTCTTTAAAAAATCCACGCCATGTATAGATCCTGAAAAAGTCTTCTTTAAAAAATCCACGCCTTGTATAGATCCTGAAAAAGTCTTCTTTAAAAAATCCACGCCTTGTATAGATCCTGAAAAAGTCTTCTTTAAAAAATCCACGCCTTGTATAGATCCTAAAAAAGTCTTCTTTAAAAAATCCACGCCTTGTATAGACTCTGAAAAGTTAATCTTTAAAAAATCCACGCCTTGTATAGACTCTGAAAAGTTAATCTTTAAAAAATCCACGCCTGGTATAGACCCTGAAAATGAATCTTTAAAAATCCACGCCTTGTATAGACCCTGAAAAATGAATCTTTAAAAAATCCACGCCTTGTATAGACCCTGAAAAAGTCTTCTTTAAAAAATCCACGCCTTGTATAGACCCTGAAAAAGTCTTCTTTAACAAATCCACGCCTTGTATATACCCTGAAAAAGTCTTCTTTAAAAAATCCACGCCTTGTATAGACCCTGAAAAAGTCTTCTTTAAAAAATCCACGCCTTGTATAGACCCCGAAAAAAATATTCTTTAAAAAATCCACGCCTTGTATAGACCCCGAAAAAAATATTCTTTAAAAAATCCACGCCTTGTATAGACCCTGAAAAACTCTTCTTTAAAAAATCCACGCCTTGTATAGACCCTGAAAAAGTCTTCTTTAAAAAATCCACGCCTTGTATAGACCCTGAAAAAGTCTTCTTTAAAAAATCCACGCCTTGTATAGACCCTGAAAAAGTCTTCTTTAAAAAATCCACGCCTTGTATAGACCCTGAAAAAGTCTTCTTTAAAAAATCCACGCATTGTATAGACCCTGAAAAACTCTTCTTTAAAAAATCCGCGCCTTGTATAGACCCTGAAAAACTCTTCCTTAAAAAATCCGCGCCTTGTATAGACCCTGAAAAATTAATCTTTAAAAAATCCACGCCTTGTATAGATTCTGAAAAAGTGTTCTTTAAAAAATCCACGTCTTGTATAGACCCTGAAAAAGTCTTCTTTAAAAAATCCACGCCTTGTAGAGACCCTGAAATAGTCTTCTTTAAAAAATCCACGCCTTGTATAGACCCTGAAAAAGTCTTCTTTAAAAAATCCACGCCTTGTATAGACCCTGAAAAAGTCTTCTTTAAAAAATCCACGCCTTGTATAGACCCTGAAAAAGTCTTCTTTAAAAAATCCACGCCTTGTATAGACACTGAAAAAGTCTTCTTTAAAAACGCCTTGTATATACACTGAAAAACTCTACTTTGAAAAATCCACGCCTTGTATTGACCCTGAAAAACTCTTCTTTAAAAAATCCACGCCTTGTATTGACCCTGAAAAACTCTTCTTTAAAAAATCCACGCCTTGTATAGACCCTGAAAAAGTCTTCTTTAAAAAATCCACGCCTTGTATAGACCCCCTGAAAAATGTATCTTTAAAAAATCCACGCCTTGTATTGACCCTGAAAAACTCTTCTTTAAAAAATCCACGCCTTGTATAGACCCTGAAAAAGTCTTCTTTAAAAAATCCACGCCTTGTATAGACCCCCTGAAAAATGTATCTTTAAAAAATCCACGCCTTGTATTGACCCTGAAAAACTCTTCTTTAAAAAATCCACGCCTTGTATAGACCCTAAAAAAATCTTCTTTAACAAATCCACGCCTTGTATAGACCCTGAAAAAGTCTTCTTTAAAAAATCCACGCCTTGTATAGACCCTGAAAAATTAATTTTTAAAAAATCCACGCCTTGTATAGACCCTGAAAATTAATCTTTAAAAAATCCACGCCTTGTATAGACCCTGAAAAATGAATCTTAATAGACCCTGAAAAAGTCTTCTTTAAAAAATCCACGCCTTGTATAGACCCTGAAAAAGTCTTGTTTAAAAAATCCACGCCTTGTATAGACCCTGAAAAAGTCTTCTTTAAAAAATCCACGCCTTGTATAGACCCTGAAAAAGTCTTCTTTAAAAAATCCACGCCTTGTATAGACCCTGAAAAAGTCTTCTTTAAAAAATCCACGCCTTGTATAGACCCTGAAAAAGTCTTCTTTAAAAAATCCACGCCTTGTATAGACCCTGAAAAAGTCTTCTTTAAAAAATCCACGCCTTGTATAGACCCTGAAAAAGTCTTCTTTAAAAAATCCACGCCTTGTATAGACCCTGAAAAAGTCTTCTTTAAAAAATCCACGCCTTGTATAGACCCTGAAAAAGTCTTCTTTAAAAAATCCACGCCTTGTATAGACCCTGAAAAAGTCTTCTTTAAAAAATCCACGCCTTGTATAGACCCTGAAAAAGTCTTCTTTAAAAAATCCACGCCTTGTATAGACCCTGAAAAAGTCTTCTTTAAAAAATCCACGCCTTGTATAGACCCTGAAAAAGTCTTCTTTAAAAAATCCACGCCTTGTATAGACCCTGAAAAAGTCTTCTTTAAAAAATCCACGCCTTGTATAGACCCTGAAAAAGTCTTCTTTAAAAAATCCACGCCTTGTATAGACCCTGAAAAAGTCTTCTTTAAAAAATCCACGCCTTGTATAGACCCTGAAAAATAAATTTTTAAAAAATCCACGCCTTGTATAGACCCTGAAAAATAAATTTTTAAAAAATCCACGCCTTGTACAGACCCTGAAAAATAAATTTTTAAAAAATCCACGCCTTGTATAGACCCTGAAAAATAAATTTTTAAAAAATCCACGCCTTGTATAGACCCTGAAAAATAAATTTTTAAAAAATCCACGCCTTGTATAGACCCTGAAAATGAATCTTTAAAAAATCCACGCCTTGTATAGACCCTGAAAAATTAATTTTTAAAAAATCCACGCCTTGTATAGACCCTGAAAATGAATCTTTAAAAAATCCACGCCTTGTATAGACCCTGAAAAATTAATTTTTAAAAAATCCACGCCTTGTATATAGCCTGAAAATGAATCTTTAAAAAATCCACGCCTTGTATAGACCCTGAAAAATGAATCTTAATAGACCCTGAAAAATGAATCTTTAAAAAATCCACGCCTTGTATAGACCCTGAAAAAGTCTTCTTTAAAAATTCCACGCCTTGTATAGTCCCTGAAAAAGTCTTCTTTAAAAAATCCACGCCATGTATAGACCCTGAAAAAGTCTTCTTTAAAAAATCCACGCCTTGTATAGACCCTGAAAAATAAATCTTTAAAAAATCCACGCCTTGTATAGACCCTGAAAATGAATCTTTAAAAAATCCACGCCTTGTATAGAGCCTGAAAAACTCTTCATTAAAAAATCCACGCCTTGTATAGACCCTGAAAAACCCTTCTGTTAAAAATCCACGCCTTGTATAGACCCTGAAAAACTCGCTTGTATAGACCCCCAAAAATATTCTGTAAAAAATCGTTCACCCCGCCTGAGAGTAGCCTTTAATCACCCTATTAATTTATAAATATTTTACTTTTAGGATTAAATTACTTACAAGGACACCAAATTAGTCAATCCTTGAAACGCATATGCGGGTAGTGTTTTAAGGCCACAATTTTGTAAATTTAATCGTTTCAACTTTGACAGGCCATAGAAGGCCAAAGGATCCAACACCTCCAAGTTATTATCCGCCAATGTCCTGGAAATAAAAAAGGGGAAGAAGAGTGAGCGACAAAAATCAAGTATGACCGAAGAATGATAGGAACGTAAAAAATTCCCCTCCATCACCACCACCTCTGCCACAAACAAATTACTTGGCATTTTTATACTTAGCACTCTCTTAACCGTCAGGATAATTAATGATGGCAACAAACAAACGAGTAATAAAGTTATTTATAAAACTGAATTTTTCAAATTAATTTTTTTGTTATTATTTTGGTGAAGGAGTGATAAAACTTAACACCCTAACCTCAACCCTCCGAAGTGAAGGACTTCTGAGGAAAAACGTGGCATTTAGGAAATCAACTTTGTTTTCTCCTTTGAGTTGTAAGGAGAACGGGGTGGCACTTGAACCTTACGAAAACAGCTACCACTTACCACATTTCTCTCATACCCCCTTACAAACTACGCCCCTCCTTCGCTGCAGCTGTCATTTGCTGGTTGGCAAAGGGCGACGATTTTGAAGTGAGTAATGACTTGTCTTCACTTTGTGTGTGTGGTGTTGGGTGTAGGTGCCACAATGGTTGATTGGGATGATGATTGTGTGTGTGTGCGTATGTGTGTGGGGGCAGAGGTCGCATGTTGGACCACTTATTCATTTTGACGCCTTGGATGACGCACAAGGCATTGTCATAGTGATGTGGTGTGGGTATTGGCTATAGCAGGTCCTCTGCCTCTGAAAAATATTTTTTAAAAAATCCACGCCATGTTGTAGACCCTTAAAAATATTTTTTTAAAAAATCAACGCCTTATTGTAGACCCTTAAAAATATTTTTTAAAAAATCCACGCCATGTTGTAGACCCTTAAATTTTTTTTTTAAATCCACGCCATGTTGTAGACCCTTAAAAATATTTTTTAAAAAATCCACGCCATGTTGTAGACCCTTAAAAATAATTTTTAAAAAATCCACGCTATGTTATAGACCCTTAAAAATATTTTTTAAAAAATACACGCCATGTTGTAGACCCTTAAAAATATTTTTTTGAAAAATCCACGCAATGTTGTAGACCCTTAAAAATATTTTTTAAAAAATCCCTTTTCGTAAACCCTTAAAAAATTTAAAAAACTTCTTGGTGGTCCTCAAACAAAAAAAAAAAAAAACCATTACCGAAAAAAACCAAAAAAAAACCGAAACATAACCAAGAATGTTATGTTTCGGCACTTGACCCTCCCAGAGAAACTCCCAACAGCCTTTTGTGTCAGTTTTTATTGTATGGGTGGGACTTTTGCATTAAGTAGCCAAAACGTTATTAACATAGCTTTTCGAGGCTGCGGAATTACTTAGGCTGTAGCAAGACATGTTTCATCTCTCTGCTATAGTGGTGATGGTGTTTAGTTTCGAAGTTTCGGAAATACTTACAATTCTTCCAAATTATTGGCCATAAAAAATGAATTCGCCTCCAGTTTGGTTATGTTGTTGTTGCCCAAATCTCTGAAACGAAAAAAATAAAGGATCATAAATATATCGGAAGGTAATTCAAAATTACGTCTACTAATTGTCTAAAAAATATTTTTAAGGTCCCCAAGCAAGGCGTGGATTTTTTTAAAAACTAATTTTGTCCATAACAAGGCTTGAATTCTTTAAACCAGTAAGGAAAGTAGTAAAGTCGGACTTAGCCGACTATATGATACCAATCACCACTTTGGGAATATTCTACTTATGTATCCTAACAGACGTCGCCTTTTCTAATTCAAGCGAATAGGTCGAAATTATATATGAAAGCTAATCTGAACCGATTTCAAGGAAACTTGCAAGATATTAAGTTTTATTAATTTCAGTACGAGAATGGGTCTGTATGGGCCTTTAGTGTACCATTTACTTATAATCGGACGAAAATATATATAGAAGGTAGATGTAAACCTGAACCAACTTCAAGAAAACTTGACACACAAATGGTTATATCAACAGTACATTGTACAAAACTGTGTGCCGATCGGCCAATCTTTGGGTCTTTAGTTCACAATTTAAATTAAATCAGTCGAAAATATATATTGAAGTTACATCTAAATCTGAACCGATTTTCACGAAACTTAGCACACATCATTCTGGACCTAATTCAGTACCCTATGACAAATTTTGTGCAAATCGAAAGATATATAGGCACTTTGGAGCCCCATTTACCTTAGATCGGACGAAAATATATATGGGAGCTATATATAAATCTGACCCGATTTTCTCGAAACTTAGCACACATCATTCTGGACCTAATTCAGTACTCTATGTCAAATTTCGTGCAAATCGAAAGATATATAGGGATTTTGGTGAACCATTTACCTTAAATCGGACGAAACTATATATGGGAGTTATATCCAAATCTGAACCGATTTTCGAGAAACTTGTCACACATCATTCTGGTCCTAATTCAGTACTCTATATCAAATTTCGTGCAAATCGAAAAATATATAGGCACTTTGGAGCCCCTTTTACCATAGATCGGAAGAAAATATATATGGGAGCTATATATGAATCTGACCCGATTTTCTCGAAACTTAGCACACATCATTTTGAACCTAATTCAGTACCCTATGCCAAATTTCGTGCAAATCGAAAGATATATAGGGACTTTGGTGCACCATTTACATAAAATCGGACGAAAATATATATGGGACCTATTCTAAATCTGACCCGATTTTCTCGAAACTTAGCACACATCATTCTGGACCTAATTCAGTACTCTATGCCAAATCGAAAGATAAAAGGGGTTTTTGGACCACCATTTACCTTAAATCAGACGAAACTACATATGAGAGCTATATCTAAATCTGAGCCGATTTTCTCGAAACTTGGTACATATCATTCTATACCTAATTCAGTACTCTATGTCAAATTTCGTGCAAATCGAAAGATATATAGGGACTTTGGAACACCATTTACCTTAAATCGGACGAAAGTATATATGGGAGCTATATCTAAATCCGAACCGATTTTTCCCATTTTCGTCCTTGGGCCAATTACGTGACCTGTGCCAATTTCATCCAAATCGGATCATAAATGCGACCTGTACTGTGTTAACAAAAATACATGGACAGACGGACGGACATGAATAAATCGACTCAGAAAGTGATTCTAGGCATATTATCAAAAGGAACCATGGGTCTATCTCGATTATTTTTACCTGTTACAAACATATGCACAAAGACATAATATCCTGAACCACACTGTGGTGAAGGGTATAAAAATCATTTTAGGGGTCCTTAACAAGGCGTGGATTCTTTAAAAAATCATTTTAGGGGTCCTTAACAAGGCGTGGATTCTTTAAAAAATCATTTTAGGGGTCCTTAACAAGGCGTGGATTCTTTAAAAAATCATTTTAGGTCCTTAGCAAGGCGTGGATTCTTTAAAAAATCATTTTAGGGGTCCTTAACAAGGCGTGGATTCTTTAAAAAATAATTTTAGGAGTCCTTAACAAGGCGTGGATTCTTTAAAAAATCATTTTAGGGGTCCTTAACAAGGCGTGGATTCTTTAAAAGATATTTCTAAGGAATCATATTTTTCATGTTGGCCATAACCTATATCAACACAATTTGTTTCAATTCTATTTAAATGACCTATTTTATCTGTTTGCAATGTCCTTTTATCTTTCTTTAGAATTCTGTTTTTTAAAAAGCTTTTAAAGTACTTAAGAGGATTTTATGTTCGCTTTGTACTTGTCCGACAATCAATCCCCAGCATTACAACATTAGCACGAAAATGCCTAAGACACTCAAGGACCAAATGGCAAAGAAGAGTAACTTGTCCTTGTACATTTCTATGTCCTTACCAGCCTCACAATCACAATGTTGGCCCCCAATAAAAAGAATAAATAAAAAATCGACTAACAAATCGATTGAATAAAATAGTAAAAAAAACGAGAACGTTCGCACTTAACTACAATCAATCAAAATCAATTGTAGACAAAATGAAACCTCCTGCCCCACCCTCCCCTCATCCTTTTGATTGTATCAACTAAATATTTCCCCGGGTCTTGAAAGAAAAGTGACAACCCCAAATTGAATAAACAACAACTCTTTTCTGCTTTACACAACTTTTATGTCAGAAGTGGGTGGGGGTGACAAAGAAAAGTTAGTTCCCGCTTAATGTTTGTTAGTGCCACAATTCACAACAACAACAGGAAAATAAGATAAATGAATTTGGAAACAAAATATTGTTTACAACTTAAGTTCGAATGTGGGCCAAGAGCGACCATGTGTGGGAATACCACAGGGGTGGGATATATTTCCACACATCCACACCGACACACAATAGTTGCCATCGACAGCATACATACTACTTTAAATACGGAATCAATTTTTATAGGAAATAGGAAACTCAGCAGGAGACAAGAAAAGGTTGCTTTAAAAACAACAAAAAAATTGAAAAAATATTCTTTAAAAACCCCACGCCCCTATAAGACCCCGAAAAAATATTCGTTAAAAACCCCTCGCGTCTACAAGACCCCGAAAAAATATTCTTTAAGAAATCCACGCCTCTATAAGACCCCGAAAAAATATTCTTTAAGAAATCCACGCCTCTATAAGACCCCGAAAAAATATTCTTTAAGAAATCCACGCCTCTATAAGACCCCGAAAAAACATTCTTTAAGAAATCCACGCCTCTATAAGACCCTGAAAAAATATTCTTTAAGAAATCCACGCCTCTATAAGACCCCAAAAAAAATATTCTTTAAAAACCCCACGCCTCTATAAGACCCCGAAAAAATATTCTTTAAGAAGTCCACGCCTCTATAAGACCCCGAAAAAATATTCTTTAAGAAGTCCACGCCTCTATAAGACCCCGAAAAAATATTCTTTAAGAAATCCACGCCTCTATAAGACCTCGCCTCTATTCTTTAATAAATCCAGGCCTTATTTAATGGTTCCCCAAAAATATTTTGTATGAAAATGTCATTTCCCAGTTCATTGGCCCTAATAAGTGGCCCCTTAAGTAAAGGGGCTAAAAATGGGAGGTGTTTTTTTTTTTTGATTTCCTCCTCAAGAGTTTATGGTTATGAGGTGGGCAGGACGATGCTGTTTATGTTCATATAACTGACCATCGGAATGGTGATGATGATGATGATGGCGATAAAGTTGTAAATACTCTTTGGTTATTTACCAAAAAGAAAATAAAATTCGGAAATTTATGAGGTGTGTATAGAAAAATGACACAAACGAAAAAGTCGAACAGGAAAAGGGGAGTTGCATTCATTTTCGCAAAAAAGAAAATAACTCACTATTCAGCAATAAAATAAAGCAAATAACAAATCACTTTAGGGAAGTGAAAAAAAGCTGGTTACGAAAAAAGAGGTTACAAGTAGCTATAGAAAAAATAATAAAAAAACGCTTTTATTTAAAAGGGTATTCACAATCAGCAACAGCAATACCTCGATTTTTTTAAAAAACTCAACAAGGCGTGGATTTCTTAAAAAAAATATTCTTAAGGGTCCTCAACAAGGTGTGGATTTCTTAAAAAATATTTAAAGGGTCCTCAACAAGGCGTGGATTTCTTAAACAAATATTTTTCAGGGTCCTCAGCAAGGCGTGGATTTTTTAAAAAAATATTTTTAAGGGTCCTCAACAAGGCGTGGATTTTTTAAAAAATATTTTTAAGGGTCCTCAACAAGGCGTGGATTTTTTAAAAAACTATTTTTAAGGGTCCTCAACAAGGCGTGGATTTTTTAAAAAATATTTTTAAGGGTCCTCAACAAGGCGTGGATTTTTTAAAAAATATTTTTAAGGGTCCTCAACAAGGCGTGGATTTTTTAAAAAATATTTTTAAGGTTATAATAAATATTGTACTTAATGTCACCATTATTCATATCTTATTTAGACAAAGATATATGACCGCAAATAATGTTCTTTCAGACGTAAAGTGCAAATTGCAACAAAAGTGAGTCATGTTATTTATTTTTTGTTATTGGTGCGGTTAACCATCAAACAGTTTGTCTTTACTATCAGTTATAGGCCAGGTTTGGTTTGCCTGCCTGTCTGTCCGCACATATGAACATCAGCTTGCTAGCTGTCTATATGCCTAAAACATACATCCATCCATCGAACCAGCCATCCATCCGTCTATTTATCTATAACATTTGTCTTGTTTCGCCTTTTTCGCGGTTTTTCACTCAACGACAAACTGCAAAATTTGCAGCAACAACAACAAATGACATCAAAAAAGCACCCAGTAGTGGTGGTTAAATTTAATTAATAATTTATGGCAACGTGACATACGTTAATCAATGTTTCAAGGCAACAGAGTAGAGCACAGAGCGAATGACGTTACGCGTAACGCAACGTGATTGCGGTGTTCTGTTCGTTCGTTCGCTGTCAACGTTGTTATGCGTTTCATTTGGAAACTCAAAGCATGTTTGCAGTTTTGTTACACCATTTCCAAGGAATTCTTTAAAAAATCCACGCCTTATAGATGGTCCCTTAAAATATTCTTTAAAAAATCCACGC